AGAAAAAAAGAAAAAGAAAGAAAGAAAGAAAGACAGAAAGAAAGAAAGAAAGAAAGAGAAAGAGAGAAAATGAGAAAGAAAGAAAATGAGAGAGAGACAAAGAAAGAAAGAGAGGAGAGCAAGAGAGAAAGAATTAAAGAGAAATAAAGAGAGAAGAAAAAAGAAAGAAAGAGAAAAAGCAAGAGAGAAAGAAAAAGAGAAAGATAGAGAAAGAAAATTAGAGAGGAAGCGAGAGAGAAAGAGAGAAAGAGAAAGAAAGAAAGAAGAAGGAAGGAAGGAAGGATAGAAACAAAAGAGAAAGAAAAAAAGGAAAAAGAAAACTGCAAATCTTAGAAATGTGTATATTTGAGTGAAAATAACATTACTTGGTTTTAAACTATGAAGATCAAGAATTTAAGTGTACACTTTCCCTTTCTTATTATCTCTGTTATGTATTTTAAAATTTCACAAGTATCAAGGAAACAAAGAAATGCATTGCAAAATAAAACACTGTTTATTTTTATTCTTTAATTAAACCACATCTTTTGGCTTCATTATCTAACAATTTACCACATTATTTAGGGATAATGCTATATGAGAAATGCTTTTTTTCAATTGTGAAAAGCTGAGGGTTTTTTTTGTTTGTTTTTGTTTTGCTTTGTTTTCCCTCAGTGCTATTATAAGCTGTGGATAAAATTGCTTTAAAGTCCTAATGACTCACAGTAAGAAATTTCTGAAAGAAGAAATGACTGGCCAAAGCTGCTAAAGCAAAGCCAGTGAGTGCTCACACATGGAGCACAAGAGCTGTAAAAGCCAATCTGAAGAAAGCAGGTAGGAGTGCTTGAGAAACTCCAGGATGATCTTAAGAATAAAAGAGAAGAAAAGCACCAACATTTACAAATGAAAATCAAGAAATTTAATAGAATGCAAGAGGTAAACCTTCATCAAAAATGTATAAAGAACTTATGGTATCTTTGTGGCAATCATTTAATAGCAAGCATTTTAGTAGACATATAAAATTTCAATCAATATAAGAATATATGTGCCATATATCATATATGTCAAGCTGACAGAAGTAAGTAAATCTTCCTGGTTTTTTTTTTCCTCTTCTCTGGATTTTTTAATTCTACAAGATAGTGTTAACAAGTAAGTTTACAAGTACACCATAAGGAAGGCAACATATTTCCCACATTTTTCTTAAAGATTAAATCTCTGCCCACTTTATTTGCTTTACAGATTCTAATTTTACCACAGTCTTGGTGAAATGTACCATCTTCCAATATAGACTGATGGGTCAATTAGTAATAAGAACATAAGATTTGGGCTTGGCATAATGCTACATGTCTTGAATCCCAGCTAAGCTGGACATGTACGTAGGCCTATATACAGGTTTATATAAAGACATCAAGTTTCCAGTTTAGGAAATCATGAGCCTCTATCTTAAAATAAAATACAGTAACATAAAAAGAATGAAAAAGAAAAAAAAATACTAGTCATGCCTTATGGGTTAGAGTGCTGGGCTGCTAAATTCAAGACCAAGTTAAAGCCTAAAACGTTTTTAAAGGTCGTACAATAATAATCAAATATTTTATTTATTTATAGCAGTAAACAATAGTCCCATATATAGTCATAGAAATTTCTTCTAATTGAAGTCAATCCCATTTTATGCTTTATTCACAATATCATTCAGCAATATTTTCCTTTGGTGTTTGTTCTGAGTCAGAAACGATGTAGTTTAAAAGCTTTACTGATTTCAGCTTCAATCTTCTCATTTTTGGCATACAGAAAAGCTATTGATTTTTGTGGATTAATTTTATACCCTGCTATTTTGCCAAAGTTTTGGATCAGCTCAAGTAACTTGGGAGTGAAGTCTATGGGGTTCTTTAAATACATCTACAAAGAAGGAGAGTTTTACTTCTTTCTCTATATGGATCCACTTATTTCTTGTCTCTTGCTTTCTTGCTTTAGCTAAGAATCTCAAAACTGTATGGAAGGGAAGTGGAGAGAGCTGACATCCTTTGCTTGTTCTTGATTTTATAGGAAATAGTTTTAATTTTTCCCCATTAAGTGTAATGCTGGCTGTAGGTTTGTCATATACAGCTTTTACTACATTGAGGATTGTTCTATGGATTCCTAGCTTCTCCAGAGCTTTTATCATAAAGAGGTGTTGGTTCTTGTCAAATGTTTTTTCTACATCAATTGACATAATTATGTGGTTCTCATCCTTGCTCTTGTTAGTATGTTGAATTACATTAATTGACTTGCATATGTTGAACCAGCTTTGCATCCAGGGAATGAACCTCATTTGATCATAGTGCATCATTTTTTAAAATTATTTGTTGAATTCGGTTGGCCAAAATTTTATTGAGACGTTTTTGCATCGATGTTCGTCAAAGAGATTGGTCTATAGTTCTCTTTGATGAGTCTCTTTGCTGTTGTTTTGTTTTGTTTTATTTTGTTTTTCCAGCCGTGGGGCTTGATCTCTGGGCCTGGGCACTGTCTCTGATTTCTTCATCTCAAGGCTATCGCTCTTCCACTTGAGCCTTAGACCACTTCTAGTTTTCTGGTGGCTGATTAGAGATAAGAGTCTCACGGACTTTCTTGCCTAGGCTGGCTTTGAATCATGATCCTCAGATATCAGCCTCTTGAGTAGCTAGGATTACAGGTGGCTCCACACCTGGCCCTGTCTGGTTTTGAGATGAGAGTTGTGCTGGCTTCATAGAATGAGTTTGGCTGTGATGTTTCTCTTTAGTGAAGTAAACCAGATCTAACAAAACATAAGCTGCATGGTTTCCCTCATCCGTAATAACTGAAATTGCTCTAGGATATTCTTAGGAGAGGACCACAATAGTTGTTGGCATATGACAATACAAAATGATGCTTTTTGAAATGAACTCCAAAGAATGGAAACAAGAGGTTTTGTTTTGTTTTGTTTTTTGTTGGTTTTACTGTTTACAGTTTTGCCTGCCTGCCTGCCTGCCTTTCTTCCTTCCCTCCTTCCTTCTTCTTGGGCCAGGGGAGGGTGTTCCCCTGGTGCCATTGTTTTTATTTCAGTACCCTTTGTCTTGTATATGTTTATCTGATTTGGGAAACGAAAGGGAAATCACAGAAATAGTGAGATACCGGACAAAGGGTGAAGCAATACGATGGCAATACTCGCTAGACACTGTTGGGAATGAACTTTATAACTTGGGGGAAGGGACATCAAGAGGAGAAAGTGGGGATTAAAAAATAATTGTACTTACTCATAGTTTGTAATCCTAGCTACTCAGGAGGCTGGAATCTGAGGATCACGGTTTGAAGACAACCTGGGCAGAAAAGTCCATTAAACTCTTTTTGTTTTTGGGTCCGGTCGTGGGGCCTGAAATCTGGACCTGGGCACTGTCCCTCAGCTCTTCAGCTCAAGGCTAGGGCTCTACCACTTGAGCCACAGCACTATTTCCAGCTTTTTTTTTTTTGCTTATGTGGTGCTGAGGAATCGAACCCAGGGCCTCATGCATGCAAGACAAGCACTCTACCACTGAACCACCTTCCCAGTCCCTCCATTAGACTCTTGTCTCCAATAATTTACTGAGAAAAAGCCAGAAGTGGATCTGTGGCTCAAGTGGTGGAGCACTATCCTTGAGCATAAAGAGGATCATGGACAGTGCCTAGGCATTGAATTCAAGCCCCAGGATCAGGAAAAAGAAAGAAAGAAAGAAAGAAGAAAGAAAGAAAGAAAGAAAGAAAGAAAGAAAGAAAGAAAGAAAGAAAGAAAGAAAGAAAGAAAAAAGAAAGAAAGAAAGAAGGAAAGAAAGAAAGAAAGGAAAGAAAGAAAGAAAAAAGAAAGAAAGAAAAGAAGGAAGGAAGAAAGGAAGGAAGGAAGGAAGGAAGGGAAAAGAAGAGAGTGAGAGAAAGAAAGGTACTCATCTAATTTATGTAATTGTAACCCCTCTGTACATCACCTTTTAGAATAAAATTTAAAATAAATAAATAAATAAAAGTTTTATATATGTTTCTTCGCCAGATTTAAAAACAATGCCGTGAGTCTCTCTAGAAGTACTTGAAATTTATCAGGTTTCGTACTTAATCCTACATAATTTCAATTTTTCAGAACTAAGTGCTTAGTGTTGAATTTGTGTATCAACAAAACAATAGTCTAATGAGAGAATATGGTGTAAATGTTGAAATGAAATAAGTTCCTGTGCCCCAAATTACAAAATAACTTTTCACATATTATAATTTCATATTATGCCATTTTTCATTTCCTGTATGGAGTAAATATTTTATTACTTGGTTTTGTGTGCTAGCAAGTGTGTTAGAAGTATGCTCTATCATGCCTTGCTAGATATACAGCTTTCATTGCAAAGATAAGAACACAGAGAAAATTGAACTTAGAAGTAGATGAACCTAAAAAGCTATAGATTAGATGAATTTAGATCAACCATTCAGAAATAGTCAAAGTTTACTAATGAAAATATTTTTCTCTAGATAAACACACGTATATGTATATGTATTTTATGTAAATATATGTGTATACACATATAAGGAAAAACACATATATGCCATTTAAATCCTGTAGACATTTAAAATGTGTTTTATAACAATGTATATTTTTTAAATTCAGACTGTAAGTTGACACTGTGCTAACTATAAATGTATCTAAATGTCGATGCCAGTATGTATATATTTGGGGATTAGTGTATCTAGAATTCGGAGATAATAAGAACACTATTTTTTTTTTCTTGCTTTGGAATTTCAGATAAGAGTAGCCATAATAAGAAGCAGAGATAAAAAAGGAGCAAGGAAGAAATAAATCAAATGCTGGTAAAGTAATATCTACATTGCAGCAGTTCTCAAAAGTGTTATATATAGAAATAAGATCAGTCATTGTTTTCGAGCCTGCTAAATAAAACTGGACTGCGGGAAAGGCATGCTACTCGCCCTCCCTGGGGCTCACTGCGGGACTAAACTGGTGCAGAGGGAACACTCTTGCAAGTGGCTCCTGTTTACATGACAGATTTCTCCTGCAAGTTCACACAATGTTCAAAAAGAACAAGTCCCTTGAACGCAAGGGAGAATTAGTCTTTCCAGGAGTTCCACGGCCCATAATGAAGACTATGAGAAATTTTCACTCTTTGTCACAACTTGTGCTCTCAGCGGGCCCTCTGAAGTCAAATCAAGCAACCAGACATTCAAAAACCACTCACTTTGAGATCGAAATACTTGATGCTCACACAAGGAAACAGATATGTATTTTGGATAAGGTGAGTGTTTTTTTAAAATTACAATTTATTTATTTTAATGTTTCTTATTGGACCCGCGGATTATAAATCAGGTGTTTAAATGCCAATAGGATTATATTTAAATACTTTGCTGACTTTTAGCTTTAATTTTAAGATCAATAGGAAACATAATCATGAGGTATTTCAGGAAAAGTAACTGCTTCATCATTCACTGTCAACTTAAGTGAATTGAATGGTAACTAATAGGGAATTCTAGTTTTCCTGCTTTTTGGTGACCATTATCCATCCAGATGTAAAATAGCAGGTGTTCATCTGTGAAGTCTGAGTTAAAATAGTCTCTCTTATCATACTACATTTCATTTTTGAGTTACCATAGAATTTCAATTTTATTTGTAGAAGTGGAAAATAAAAGCCATGGAAATTTTTTTAATAGCAAGATTGATATAAGGGCTGTCATACACTAAATTAGTAAATGAAAAGCATTATTTTGAGATATGTACCTGCTTAAAAAGTAATCCTCTCACAATGAAAAATTAATTTTCTCAAACTAGGCTTTGAGTTCTTGAAAAGAATGCCATCTATATTCATAATCATAGCTGTTTCAAAAAAGGAATGATAAAATATGTATAACCCAATTAAATCAAATTAAAGTAGGAGCCCATGTGTACATTATATAGGTACATATCCAAGGACAATATTTCAAACATTCTGCTTTTTTTATCAGCTAAAAAGAAAAGAGTCACTTACTCTGAGAAGCCTTGATAATTTTAGTAAATATTTCATTTACTTGTCATTATAGAAATGTTAGCATACAATTGTTATTCTAAAGACAAAAATCACAGTGACATTTAAAAATGTCCTAGCTAGGATTCTAGATAAGAAAAAAGAAGGGGAAGAAATTGTTTATTCATTACAATGTCCAGAAAGATGGTACATATTTCCATGTTTTATAATTTCAATAGTTTGACTCACCTGTTATTTGGGTATAGCATTTATTTCTAGACAAAAAATAATAGAGCATTTACAAGTCATAAGTAAATATTAAAATATTCAAAACCACTTATTTCCATGTAATTTCAAATTGTGTGATTTTGTATATTTCTCCTTGGACTACAGGTAACTAATGAATATGAAATAGAATTTAGATATATGGATTTCCTAAGTGACATGATTTTTTAATCTTTGTAAAATTTAAAAATTAATTTTTAGATAAACTTAGAAGTTAAGCTGCTCATCTGCAAATGACTGGGGCTTGCAAAATCCCCAATCCCCATTCAAAATCTTCCAGAAGAGCAATATTAAATTAAGAAACTAGAAACTAATCAATTCCTAATTATTTTGCTCATACTTGAGATTTTAGTTGAAAGTAATCAGGAAATTTTGAATTCCTGGGAACTAAGCTACATTTCACTAACAAGCATCCACAAGCATGTTCTTCAGAGATGAGGATTTTTCTTAGGAAAGCTCACATTTGAACCTTTTAAAAAATTAACTTTAACAACGGTACTCATTAGACACCATGTTCAAAATGAACTATACAACTTGTGTGTGAGGACGGGAGGGAAAACCTGAGATAAAAGGAGGAAAGGGTGAGATTTTCCAAAAAGGAATATTTTTGATACCTGACATAAAACCGTAACCCCTCTGCATATATGTTTACAATAACAATAAACAACAAAACAATAAAAATAAATTTATCTTTAAGTAGCTGAACAAAGGAGCTGCTATTCAACAAAGCAGGTCATGAATACAACTTTTCTTTATCAGTGTCAACCCCTTTCATTAGATTTGAATCTCAAGAGGACTGGTATTTATCTCCTCTCTTCTCCTCTAATCTCTTCTCCTTTTATCCCTTCTCTTCCTCTTCCCTGCCTTCTCAGCCTTCTCATGCTGCTCCTCCTCTTCCTTCCCATCTTTCTCCTCCTCTTTTCTTCTCCCCTCCTCTCTCTTTCTTTCCTCTTCTCCTCCTTCCCCCCTTTAACCCTCACATCAAAAACAAAACAAAACCAACTATACACCTCCTGGGCTGTCTCCTACAGCTTTCTGTTCTATTTCTAATTGTTTTCTTCAAGTGTTGATGATATTATCTCCCTAGTTGCTTTCTTTTTTTTGTTTTGTTTTTCTTTTTTTCTTTGTAAGTCTACTCCACTTGTGTATCAGCCTCCATTTCTTAGGATGAGAGCTTGATGAGCTAAATATGGAGGCATGACTTTCTTAAACCTAAAGGCTCATTCTTCTGGAGTATGTGAGTATATCAGTTATACTTAGGCTTCTCCAAATACTCTTGTTGTGTCTCATACTAGTACAATAATACATGTATGTAAATGTTTATACATGTACATGTGCACACACACATTTATATCCTATATTACTTTATGGCTTTCTCTTTCTTCCCTGTTCTTTTCATCATTTGACTTATAAGGTGTGAACTTTGAACAAAATCCATTATAAAATCGTTTTCCTACTTATAGTTCTTTACCATAATAAACCTGTTTCTAACTATTATCAATCCACTTGTGGTTTACATATGGATAGCATAGTGTACATTTCCCCTAATCAACTCTGCATCTATAAAACCATTAATTAATCTAATGTCTCTATCTTTCTATCATCTATCTATCTGTATCTTCTGTACATATCTCATGGTATCTACAACTGAGCACTAACATTGATCTGGCATAGAATTCTTCAAGTTAATAAGTGGTAACTGCATTTTTCAAATTCCTAAATCAAGCACCTGGAGGAGTCAGGGTTCATCTTAATCTCATGCCACACATACCAGCCATATTCTTAAAGGTGCTTTAAAATGTATCCACACTCTGAGAAATTCTCAATTCTCCTGGCAGCAGTTGTAAACCTTTACTCTGTTTTGTTGTTGTTGTTTTGTTTTGTTTTGTTTTTTTTTACCTCAAGCACATTTAATATTTCTTATGTGGCAACCAGCAGGTGAAGCTGTGTCCTCAAAACTACTGCATGCCTTCCTCAGAATCAAATCACACATTTTCCTGAAAGCTTTTCCTTATCATTCAGACTGCAAAGTCTGCCAGGGTTCTCTATTATCTTTCTTTTTATTCTGTATTCCACTCAAGAACGCCTAACATGCTTTCACATTATTTAATTCATTCATTTACACAGATATTTACTTCACAAATGTGGCTGTTCTAATTCTAATATTTTCTGTATTCAAACTAGTTCTTCACGTAGTGTTGAACCAGTGTATGCTAAGTAAATGATTTGCAGGCTTCATACTCATGTTTAGCCATTATAGTTATAATATGAAGTGTGATTTACTAAAACAAGTCACCATTGGAGTAAATGTAAAATTCTATTACCTACCACCACTTCCTAGGTGCCAAATAATTTAGCTTTATAACAGTATATAATTAATTAACAGAAAATCATGCTCTGATGATAAGGTAACATACATTTTATGTGGCAGATGAAGACATTTACTCAAATTTTAGTTTTATTCCAGGAATATAATTTTTAAAAAAATATTCAACTAATGGGTTTAAAATATATGCTAAACATTCTCAAGGAGTATATTGGAGCTCCAAAACATATAAGAGACAAGAACATTAAGTCTTAACATTTAACAGTACATTATTTTCAGCTTTTGACTCTATTGCTTCACTTCTGTTTTGGAAAGTGTCAGAGCTTATCTGGTGATAAGTCATTGATTCAAGAGCACTGTAAGGGCACTAAAAGCTGAGCTGACAATGCTTCCCGAATCTTCCCTTTTCTTCCCTTTGATCTTTCTCCAAGGAAACTGACCTCAAGCTCACTGTTTATTTCTTTTGTTTGCATTCTATGTGAAACACAAACCCATTCTAAAGAACCCTCAAAAATGTTAAAAAAAAAAACTCAATGATTTTCCAGTCATTATTATAGTAAAAAAAGAAAAGCCAGCATCCTATCAGAAAACAGTAAGAAATACTATAGAAGAAGAAGATAATAAAATGTAACTTTAATTATTTAGAAATTTTGAACATTCCTAATTTTGCCGTTGATTTTTTTCCCCCTGGGGCTTGACCTCAGGGCTTGGATGTTGTCTCTGAGCTTCTTTTGCTCAAGGCTGCACTCTACCACTTGGGTCAACGCACCACTTCCAGCTTTTTCTGTTTATGTGGTACTGAGAAATCAAACCCATGTATTCTAGACAAGCACTCTACCTCTAAGACACATTCCTAGACCTCCACTGAATTTCTTAATGTGTTGTCTTGGTGTATAGCAAACTCAATAATTTTTTTCACCTATAAAATATGAAAATCAGGTGCTTTAGGACATCCTTTCTTCCTCCTCCTTTTCCTCCACCTTTTTCCTCCTCCTCTTCTAACTTCACCTCCCCCGTTTCATATTTCTCCTCCCCATTCTTTCCCTTCTTCTCTTCTTTGATCTCCTTTTTTTCTTTAATTTCTAATTTTCTCCTTCCATTCTTTTCTTTTTTCTTATTTTCTCAGTTCTATTGCTTCGAATAAGAAATAATTTTAATTAGCAATACATAATTTAAGTCACAAATTTTGAATTCTATTAGACCAGAATTTTATTATAAATCTGAGAATGTGCTTTCTTTTGTTCTGAGACGTTTCAATATCCCTGATCTTTAATATATTTTTTTCTGAAAAAATGATTTAGGCATTATTAGTCTTCCTATAGAGAGAAGATAATTCGAAATAAAAATTGTAGCAGAATCAAGCTTCACTTTCTATGAATATTTATACATTGTCACTAACAGATATCAATATTTGCATTAGCCCAAATTCTCAGTTTCAACTTAATTTCACGGTAGAGTCATTTGACTCCTGATTCAGGCATGCTGTTTTTTTTTATTATTATTATTATTGTGAAAATACTGTAACAATTACATGGGCAAGACAGTGAGTACATTTCTTATCAAGCATTGTATCCTCCTCCTTTGTTTACCCTTCCATCCCTTCCCATCCTCCCTCCCCCCCCAGCTGCTTATTTTCTTTCTCTTTTGACATAAAAGAGGGCCCATAATTATTATATAATTTAGATAT